CTCTCCTACCAGAGAGACACCAACCACCCCTCCGCGTCTTTTTCGCGCAGACAATCGCCTCTTTTTTGCCCACCGAAAGTCCTTCAATCGCTAATCGCAAGAAACAGACACTGCCTTCGTCCTCTTCTCTTCGGTCGTTGTACACCAATGCCTTCCTTCTAATAGACGATCTTGATTCACCGCAACTTTCGCCATGATATCCTCAACACTTCTCCCCCGCCGTTTTCGGGGTGAGCAGCCCGCCGCTCAGGCCGCTGCCCCCTCCTGGGTCAACAAAAAGATCACACCGGCTCTAAAGTTCCTCTCCAAGCTCGCCTGCTCGCACCCTATTCACACTGTTGTCATTGTTGCCGTTTTGGCCAGCACTTCCTACGTTGGATTGCTGCAGGAGAGCTTGTTCGATGCTACCATCAGCGTTCGCACCGCCGACTGGTCATCCCTCGTCGAGGGCAGCCGGCGCCTGCAAGCCGGTCCCGAAACTGCCTGGAAATGGCAGAATGTCGAGCCCGAGGCCTCCATCGCCGGTGAAGTCGACCACCAGGCCCTCCTGACCCTCGTCTTCCCCGAGTCTCAGTCTCCCGAGTCGATCAACACCGCTCCGCGCACCCACGCCGTCCCGATTCCCCAGAACCTGTCCATTACCTCGCTTCCCTCGACCTCCAACTCCCTGACCACCTATTCCCAGGACAGCGCTCTTGCCTTCGCCGTACCCTACTCCCAGGCCGCCGAGTTCCTGTCAGTAGCCCAGGAGATTCCCGATGCCACCAGCGATGAGACCGAAACAATGCACGGCAAGGAGAAGAAGATGTGGATCATGAAGGCTGCCAAGGTCCACACGCGCAACAGTCTGGTTCAGTGGGCTCGTAACGGCTGGACAGAGTTCCTCGACCTGCTCAAGAACGCCGAGGCTCTCGACATCTTCATCATGGTCCTTGGCTACCTGTCCATGCACCTGACATTTGTCTCGCTCTTCCTCTCCATGCGCCGCATGGGCTCCAACTTCTGGCTCTTCACCAACGTCCTCTTCTCCTCCGTCTTCGCCTTCCTGTTTGGTCTGCTTGTCACCACCAAGCTCGGTGTTCCCATCACAATGGTGCTGCTGTCCGAGGGTCTGCCATTCTTGGTCGTAACCATCGGATTCGAGAAGAACATCATTCTTACCCGTGCCGTGCTCTCGCACGCCGTTGAGCACCGCCGGCCGCAAGAGAACAAGGATGACAGAAAATCCAGCAAGAAGTCCGACGTGTCATCTCCCAACGTCATCCAGTACGCTGTTCAGGCAGCCATCAAGGAAAAGGGCTACGACATTGTCAAGGATTACGCTATCGAGATTGGCATTCTCGTTCTCGGTGCTGCCTCTGGTGTCCAGGGCGGTCTTCAGCAATTCTGCTTCCTTGCCGCCTGGATCCTTTTCTTCGACTGCATTCTTCTCTTCTCCTTCTATACCGCCATTCTGAGCATTAAGCTCGAGATCAACCGCATCAAGCGCCATGTTCAGATGCGCCGCGCACTTGAAGATGACGGCGTCAGCCACCGCGTGGCCGAGAACGTGGCCAAGAGCAACGATTGGCCCGAGTTCGACGGCAAGGCCCCCAAGGAAACTTCTTTGTTCGGCAAGCAGATGAAGAGCAGCAACGTTCCCAAATTTAAGGTGCTTATGGTCAGCGGTTTCGTCCTGATCAACGCCATCAACATCTGCACCATCCCTTTCCGCAACTCTAGCTCTCTCCCCAGCTTGTCTTCCCTGACTGGCGGCCTCAGCGCCGTTGTCACTGCTCCTCCTGTCGACCCCTTCAAGGTTGCCTCGAACGGCCTCGACGCCATTTTGGAATCAGCAAAGGCCAACGAGCGCCCCACCGTTGTCACTGTCCTCACACCCATCAAATACGAGCTCGAGTACCCCTCCATCCACTACGCGCTTCCTTCTCCTGCTAGCAAGTCTGGCCAAAAGCACCAGGATGAGTATGATACGTTTGAGAGCTACGGTATGGGTGGCCGCATGGTTGGCAGCATCCTGAAGAGCCTCGAGGACCCCGTTCTCTCCAAGTGGATCATTGTGGCCCTCGCCATGAGCGTGGCCCTGAATGGCTACCTGTTCAACGCTGCTCGCTGGGGTATCAAGGACCCCAATGTTCCCGACCACCAGATCGACCCCAAGGAGCTCGCTCGCGCCGAGAAGTTTAACGATACTGATTCGGCCACTCTGCCCCTTGGTGAGTACATTCCTGAGACGCCCAGGCCTGCCACCCCCGCGGAGACCGACGATGAGTCCGAGGCCAAGTCTGGTAAACCTGCTACCCCCGTCGAGCAGCGCACCATTGCCCAACTTGAGAAGATGATTGCCGAGAAGCGTGTCCACGAGATGACTGATCAGGAGATTGTTGGCATGTCTCTTCGTGGCAAGATTCCTGGTTACTCTCTCGAACGCACCCTGAAGGACTTTACTCGCGCCGTCAAGATTCGCCGTTCCATCATCTCCCGCACCAACGCCACTTCTGACTTGACCAACGGTCTCGAGCGCTCCAAGCTTCCCTACCACAACTACAACTGGGAGCGTGTCTTTGGCGCTTGCTGCGAGAATGTCGTCGGTTACCTTCCCCTGCCTGTCGGTGTCGCCGGTCCTCTAGTTATCGACGGACAGAGCTACTTCATCCCCATGGCTACCACCGAGGGTGTCCTGGTCGCCTCTGCCAGCCGTGGCTGCAAGGCCATCAACTCTGGTGGCGGTGCCGTTACCGTCCTCACTGGCGATGGCATGACCCGTGGACCTTGTGTCGGATTCGAGACCCTGGAACGTGCCGGTGCTGCCAAGATCTGGCTCGATTCCGAGGCTGGTCAGAACACCATGAAGAAGGCTTTCAACTCTACCAGTAACTTTGCTCGTCTTCAGACCATGAAGACTGCGCTGGCCGGAACCAACCTCTACATCCGCTTCAAGACGACTACCGGTGACGCTATGGGTATGAACATGATTTCCAAGGGTGTCGAGCACGCCCTCTCCGTCATGGCGTCCGAGGGTTTCGAGGACATGAGCATCGTTTCGGTCTCTGGTAACTACTGCACGGATAAGAAGGCTGCCGCCATCAACTGGATTGACGGACGTGGAAAGAGTGTCGTCGCCGAGGCTATCATCCCCGCCGACGTTGTCAAGAACGTTCTCAAGAGTGACGTTGACACCCTCGTCCAGCTCAACGTTGACAAGAACCTGATCGGCTCGGCCATGGCTGGTTCCATCGGAGGTTTCAACGCCCACGCCGCCAACATCGTCGCCGCCATCTTCCTCGCCACCGGACAAGACCCCGCGCAAGTTGTGGAGAGTGCCAACTGTATCACCATCATGAAGAAGTAAGTCCCGAACCTTGTCCCACAGTTGTGTTTTGTCACTAACCACTCGTAGCCTCCGTGGTTCTCTGCAAATCTCCGTCTCCATGCCCTCGCTTGAAGTCGGTACCCTCGGTGGCGGAACCATTCTTGAGCCCCAGAGTGCCATGCTCGACATGCTTGGCGTTCGTGGTCCCCACCCCACAACCCCTGGCGAGAACGCCCGCCGTCTGGCCCGTATTATTGCTGCTGGTGTCCTGGCTGGTGAACTGTCACTGTGCAGTGCCTTGGCTGCAGGTCACCTTGTCAGAGCGCACATGCAACACAACCGCTCCGCACCCCCCACGCGGACTAACACGCCGGCTCCGGCCAGCGGAACCATGACACCGGTGGGCCTAGCCATGACGAGTGCCGTCGAAAAGGCTGCTGGCAAGAGCCCAGCGGCTGTCGAGCGGGCGCGTCGTTGAGTTCTCCAAGTCGCTGTATATACGCAAAAGAAAAAAGGCACAAGACATAATTATGGAGTTTTGGGGATAGAGTAAACATTACATGGCGATTGATGCACCATTTTCGCATACGCTGCATTGCACTTACAGTAGCAAGGGGGAAGAAATCATGCACCTCGCAAGACGGTGCGCTGGCCACGCCAGCTTGTATGTAGAATCAGATACATAAGAGCTTCTTTGTCCTAGATGAGTCCGAACGACATCTTCCGTGATATCCTTTGCATCATATTCTCCGTTAACTAATGTTTCTACTGCAGCATACCAAGTCAAGTGAAGTGGTTGCAGAATCATATGGGACTCATCTGGAGGTTGCTGACATAATCCATAGTGTTCTTCGCGCCACATTCCTGTGCCACAGAGGCTGCTTGCTGCCTTGACCTGTGTCTGGTGGAGAGCTTTCGTAAGGTAACTTCCCCACCCCAAAGATCCCAAGACATCGACGCTTTAGAGCCTCAAGATTCTCGACGGTAATCGTGCAAGTACAACAACCCATGTCCAATCTTAAGCTCGAATGATCCCGTGGTGCTACCACCTCAATGTACCGAGCTCTCCAGCCAAACGAGAGCATGCCGCCTCACTCTAGAAGCATTGCTTACGGCGGTTCAAGCAACCAGCTTTGGCGATGTTACTGGCAGGCAGTCTGTAAACAACAACATGTACAATGATGCAAGAATCCAGGCCGAAACGTACCATACAAGGATCCAATGGGACTTTCAGAATACTAGTTGTGGTTCGCGGCTCAAAGGATTTCAGGCGACGCAGGCAGCAATTCCCCCTGGCTTGTGCCGTGCCGCATAACACAGGCCTAGAACCCCGCAGATCTCGGTGTCTTCCTTCGTTTTACTGAATCCTATGAAGGTTATCGATAGGACTTTGACTCACAGAAGGTCTTGTTCCCGTCAATCTGATGCCTCTCCGGGAGCCGATGACTCTTGACGGCTGTCCGAGCGGGGTACGGCTGCCTACCTATGTCCTGCCGGCTCCCGAAGTTCTAGGCAGGCTATCAGGGGCTGAGGCCTTCTCGAACATCTTGAGACTTTGGGTTCACAGTATAAAGACCCTCGCGATCTAGAGATAGCTGGCTTCTTTTCAAACAAACCATCTCATCATCTCCACAGATTCCGATTCTTGAAAACCCCCAAGACCTTCCCATCGAGGCCTCCCCAATTCACAATGGCACGCACCAAGCAAATGGCCCGTGGCCCGGGCCAGTATGCAAATGAGCAGCCTCTTGATGAAGAGGATCAGCAGGAGATCAATGGAATTCTCACCGAGGAAGACAAGAAACGTCGCGAGGAGCTTGAGAAGGCACCCATGCAGATCGAGGTCAAACACCTAGAGAAGCGGTGGACAAAGAAGGGGCACCCATACATCACCGAGCCAAAGGAGGATGAGGACGTCCCCCAAGAGAAGATTAATTGGTATGAGAAGTATGCACTCTGCGTAAGTAGCGCTTCACACCACTGGCCTATGTTATGTTCTTACACAGGCCCATTCAGATCACGCGCCAGTACGATGGCCAAAACAAATACATCTGCCGTACCTCACTTGAGGTCAACTCTCCCGGACTCAAGAATATCTTAGGAGATGTCATTGGCAGCAAGTACCCTGGCCAATCCTACCTGACTTCCAACATTACCGTCGACTTCCCTCCCCGCAGTCTCTACCACTACCGTCAGGAGCTGGCCGACACTGCTGTTGATCACGAACCCGGTTCCGATGAAGCCAGGCACCTCCCTCTGCTGCTCAGCTTCATTGACGAGGAGTTCCATGATGCCATTACCGACGGCGCAAACCTTCTTGAGCAGGGCTTGATGAGCTATGAACACCTCTGGACCATCTTCCGTCCAGGATGCCTTGTCTACGCTACTCGGATGAGCCAGGCCCGTGTGTACAAGCTCAATAGCTACCAGTATACCTGTGGCCAGTGCCCCGGTCTCCAGCTCAGCGTCGAGTTCGTCGACTTTGACGGCGACGACTTTGGCACGAGGTACGATTCCCTCTTGATTCCCGCTTTCTCTGGAACCACGGAAATCGCCTCTCTCAACGCCCTGCCTCTGGTGCACCACCCTGACCCCAGCGCCGTTTCGCGCCTCCTTACTGAGCGCGGCCGACGATGGGAGGCTCTCGCCGGTCAGAATTTCCGTCAGTACAAGGGCGTAGCGTTGGACCCCCGCAACCGCCGCTTCAACATTGACGGCCGGGTCATGGTCGACGCGGAGACTCACCACCGAATCATGGCCGACTTCGCCTTCAACATCAACTCGTTCCCCAAGGTGGCAGGGCGGAAGCGGAAGCAAGACGACGAGAGCGACGACATGGAACTCGTTCCAAAGGAGACTGCCGAGTTTGCGCCCCTGACCGACGAGCAATGCCTGCTGGCCAGCCCCATGGTCCGCGGCTTCAGCTTCACCGAGAAGAAGTTCCTCGACTTCTTCGTCGACAAGATCAGCCCCATCGAGTGGAACACCCAATGCTTCGAGCAGCTAGTCCTGCCAGACTCTCAAAAGGAGCTCGTGCAGGCTCTCGTGGCGGAGCACACCGCCCGGGCCACCGATCCAAACTCGTCTGCGTTTGATGACATTGTCAAGGGTAAGGGCAAGGGCCTCATTCTCGTCTTGCATGGTCCTCCTGGCGTAGGAAAGACCTTGACGGCGGAGTGCGTGGCAGAATTCAGCCGTCGACCGCTATACATCGTCTCCTCGGGCGACCTCGGTACCTCGTCATCGGTCCTGGACGACAAGCTGACCAAGACGCTCGATCTGGCGAGCACGTGGAAGGCGGTGCTCCTCATCGACGAGGCCGACGTCTTCCTTGAGCGTCGCTCATTGCACGATATGGAGCGCAACAGTCTCGTGTCCATCTTCCTACGCACCCTCGAGTACTATAGCGGCATCCTCTTCATGACGACAAACCGCGTACGGACCTTTGACGATGCCTTCAAGAGCCGCATTCACGTGCCTCTCAAGTACGATGACCTGCCGCGTGAGAGCCGGTTGAAGGTGTGGAAGAACTTCCTGGGCAACGTCGAAGGTGGTGTCGACATTGACGAAGACGGGTATGAGAAGCTCGCGGAGGGCAAGTTGAACGGGCGCCAGATCAAGAATGTGGTCCGGACGGCCAAGAGTTTGGCTGCGCACAAGAAGCGGAGATTGGACTGCGAGCAGCTGCAGCAGGTTGTGGATATCCAGATGACGTTTGAGAGGGAGCTGGACAGTGTGGATGGTGACATTGATGTGGTTGTACGATAGAGAGAGAGGACTCGGACTCGGTCGGTGCAAACGGAAGCGGGAGACCACGGGAGCCAACGGGATCGGCACGTTGGGGGAGGGCGTGTTGGTGACCTGTGCTGATGAGTTTTCCGGGGGAGCAATAAGATTAAGTTCGTTTTCTGTCGTCTCTGCGTCCTCAATTCCCCGCTCGTTGTAATGAAGTTGTGAGATGTTGTTTGTTGCCGTTGAGGAGCCAACGGTTGACGCGAAGCCCCCAGAAACAAACAAGGAAATGAAAATCAGGACTCGAAACTCGAGACGCAAATATCGCAGGTCAAAGGCAATAGTAGCAACCAACAAAAGCCACGACCCCACAACCAGATTGAATGGACAAGTACAGATTAACAAACATCAAACAGGACGGTGACAAACATGCCCCATTCTGCAATGACTGTGGCGGAGTCAATCTTTTTTAGGACTGTCGTCCCAGTAGACAAACACAATGCCGGGTGCCCTGGAGGGTTCAATTCGTTGGTCATATCCTTTATGGGTGCAACGCCGTTTTGTCGCAATTATGATGGCGAGTGTCAATAAACCAGACGACTTTGCTCCCCTTTGTGCCGCTTCATAACCTTTCATCTTTGGCCCAAAGTCACACGATGACAGTAAGTGTTCGTAGTTGAATGCCCAGCTAGACGTTCCCAAGAGTTGTTTGCAGTCTTCCAATACCAGTCTTTCTTTCCTCGTATTCAGGTTCGAACCCTAGATTCCTGAGCAAGAGACTATTAAGTAAGTATGCCCAATGATTCGGCAGATCTTAACGATGCCCGGAGCTGAGTTGCTCTCAGCTCAGCCCAGACTTCATCTCTACCGAAAGAACCCTAGTCCTGGAGGCGGCTCACACGCTTGTGGCGCCCCCCTCACGAGGACTCGAGGGCCGGCAAACCCGCCAGAGCCAATTGCGCAAGACGCTCGACCCTCTAGCGTGTATGGTACCGTGCCGCCGGGTCGCGCCAAGGGGACGCCCCATGTCTCGTTGGTCTGGGGAGATTGGGCGCCTCCTTTCTTGGGTTGGGTGAAGTTTGGGTGAAAGCTGGGTGAAGTTGGGTGTCTTGGGTGTGTTGGCCTTGGCCCCAAGCCCCCCCCCCCCTTAGGGAACTCCAGCTCCGGTCGGTTTGGCTTGAGACGGGGTGGCTGAAAAGGCATTGAACCCCATCTAGACTGCAAACAGACTAAGCGAATTGCAAGGGTGAAACTGTGAGTCGTTGACGCGATTGGTCTGGAGACGAGATGTCGTGGCATGTCGTGTTCAGTCTAGACTTCTCCTTACTCTAGAGGTGAACAATTCGGGAGCCGTTGGTGCTTGGAGCTTCTTGTCCCCTCCCTTTCCTTTGGGTAGCTGGTAGAGGCGGTAATGACACCCATGGGTGATCCCTACCCCCTGGCCTTGAAGGACACGGTCTGCGGGAAAATTCCCTTGTTCAACCCCCAGCTCAGATGCCGATTCATTCCTTTAGTGGACTCGAGTTGGTCCAACTGATTCCCGAAACTGCGGTAAGCAAACGGTTGCTGTCTTATTAGGCTGGATCGAGACATGGCAATCCGAACACAACACCCTCAAATGCCTTTGTTTGGACGGCGTGGACACGGACTGGGTAGGTTACCAGCTCGTTTCCGCACTAGTTCCCTGCGGCAGGCACACGCACGCTTTCACACCTCCTTGGCGCAAACGCAGGCGATGTAGATATATCAGGGCTGCAATCCTTCGTGTTGACATCTTCTGTGGTCTTCTCCATATCAACGTCCGGGCAGAGCATTTTGACAGAGTGAGTGAGAAAAAGTCCTTGCATGGCTGGCCGCAATGATTTCGGAGCAAAGAGGAGTACGCCACATGCAGCCTTCGACATGTCTTTTACTCATTTGACAGCTGCGCCTTCTACTACCTCCACATCTACGACGCGGGACTACCCAAAGATAGATGTTGAGCTTTCGGTTATTCCTTGCTCTGGGAGTGAGGGCTCATGGACGCCAGAGGAGCACGTTCATCCGAGGCAATGGAGCCAGGCGCGGAAGGCATATGATACATGCTTGATTGTCTTTCTCGAGTTCTTCACGTATGTCAACCTCGTCTCCATGTCTGGGTATCACTGCTGACTTTGTCTAGTACCATGATCAGCACCGCAGGAGTACGTCCTCCTTAGTTACCTTCTATTTGAATCCTGATGCTGACATCCATAACAGTCACCGATTGCTGGACACATTCACGGCGATCTTAACCTAAGCCCAGTTGCAGCGACTTGCGTTTTCGTTTCAACGTAAGTAAGATGGGCAGCAAGGGGCCTACTCCACGTAGTCAGACGACTGACATTGCCATTAGATATCTCATCGGTCAAACTGTTGGAGGAGTTTTCTTCCCACCCTGGTCAGAGTCCTTTGGCCGTAAGAAACTCTACGTAATAAGCACTGGCCTTTACAGCCTGTCTTGCATCCTCGTCGGCAGGATACCAACGATTCCTGGCATTGTTGTCGGTCGTTTCATTGGCGGACTGTTGTCGTCGGTCCCTACCATTGTTGCCACGGGCAGTATCGAAGACCTTTGGGATACCAATGCGCGAGTATGGTGGCTATACTGGTGGTCACTGGTCGCGAACCTCGGGATATTGACGGGGCCGGTCTTTAGTGACTTGGTCATGAGAAGTACTCACTGGTTAGACCTTGTCGTTTGATCCAGCTGGAGTAAACCATAACTGACCGTGAACTCCTTAGGACGTGGGTGTTCTACACAGCGGCCATAGTCACCGCATGCGTCACTATGCTGCTCCTCACAATCAGGGAGTCCCGTCCCTCCGTCGTACTAGCGAGGGCCCAGGCACTCACCGAAGTCCAAGGCCCGAGCACGAACATCACCTCACCGGGTAAGGTGTTCCCTTCAACGCACGAGAAGCTCGACCTCCTCCGCCCCCTGCGACTCTTCTTCACCGAGCCAATTGTCTTCCTTGCTGCAGTCATCAGTGCTATAGCCTTTGGGCTCGTCTACCTCTTCACCGAAGTCCTACCTCTCGTCTACGTCGACATGGGCTTTACCGACGCATCGATGAACCTACCCTTCCTCCCTCTTGCGATTGGCATGGTCTTCAGCGTGCTCACTCGTCTCTACGATCGTCGCGTCCTTGCCAAAAAGATGTCGAGGTCGCTACCACTCACACCCGAGTCGAAATTCACAGGCTTCATCCTCGGTGCGCCCCTATTGGCGATCTTTCTTTGGTGCTTCGCCTTCACTATCCCACCCTATACCACATCGGTACACTGGGCTGTCCCGACGATAGCGCTCATACCCATAGGCTACGCAGTCAATGAGTTTGACTATGTGCTGGCTGGATATCTCACCGACTGCTATCAGACATACTCGGCCAGCGCCTTTGCTGCCCTGTCCTTATCGAGATCAATCCTCTGTTCGGCGTTTCCTCTGTTAGGAAGAGTACTATTTGACTCCCTGGGTTTCAACGTCGCAACTTCCGTGTTTGCTACTCTAGCTACGGTTCTGTGTGCTGTACCCCCGGTGTTGTTGAGATACGGGGGTACACTCAGAGCCAAAAGTGCGTTCGCGAGCAAGAACCCGAGAGACCTGGCGAGCTTGTGAGGGGCTGCCATAGTACTAACCCCTTTTCATGTACATATTCATGCAAAACCTACATACGACTTCTTGTAAGAAACAAGTATTCAGTGCATTTTTCAGCAAAGCGCCTTTGATTGATGCGATTACAGAGGTGTAAGCGAGCCGGGAGGATACTATTATCATTATAAGTAGGTAGAGCTATTGGGAACCTTTGGCACGACACAGTCCCTCGGGAGATCGAGGAATACGGACAATACAGGCAGGTGGAGCTGTTTGAATCCTTCATTGACTTATTAATGCCCATTAGTAGCTCCGTTTCTGTGACCATTCGAAGGGGAAACCAGGCCCTTTGTAGAGTAACCCAAGGGCATGCCAACCAGGTACTTCTGCTTACTCGTGGGTGTGCTATCCGCAGCTTGACCTCGGGCACCTAGAATGTGCACCTGGGCATCCTGTTGGAATACCAGTATGATGTCGGAGCCTCCAAACTCAAAGTGGGATATCTCCTGGCCCTTCTTGACGTTCACATTCGGCTGAATCGGGTACTGCTCGCCCGGCCCGGGCTGCCACACAAGATTGACTGAAGAAACTTGGGCCATACCGATGGGCAGCACAGCGACGTAGCCGAGAAGAGGGTTCTTGATGATGACACAACCACGAGCTTGGAGGAACTGGTATCCAGCCTCGTCGGGCATGCTGAGAGTGCTGTTCTCTCCATTGCCCCCCTTCTCTCCTGCTTGAGCATCTGGTGAAGTATAGCTGCGATGTGGCTTCAGCTTGCCGGTTTCGGGGTCGATAATGACCTGCAAGTATGCTAGGCCCTTGATGACGTTGGCCTCAACGACAGTCCCGGCCACAGGTGCATGTTGGCGATGGTAGTCATAGGTGTTGAGGTATGCATGCATAAAGGTGCCGCCCTCGAATTTGTCGGCGTACTGACTGCCGGCCAGGAGGTCTTTGATGTTCCAAGGGACGTCTTTGATCATCATGTCGTTGTTCTGATTGACGGGCCATGCACCGTCAAAAGTGCAATCGGCGGGGTAGACTACGAGACGATGATAGTCCGCCTCATCGGGTTTACCTGCGCTGATAGGCCGCATGCCAGGCTTCAGGAAACGAGCAAAGAGCTGGTTGAAACTCTTCCAACCCCCGGACGGCACGATTGCCTCGTCGTAGTTGTAACGGGGAGAGTCTTGGAAAGACTGAATTGCTGCGGCGTTGATCGAGCTGCTGGTGTCCATCCAGCTACCAACCTTGTTGGCGAAGTCGATTGTCCATTGGCTCAGTGGTAGAGGAGCCTGGCCGACAGCGTTCGGGGTGATGGGTGTCGAGTACGGGGGGATGTTGATGGGGTTCTGGTCGAGGACAAAGTAGAGCACGCAGAATGTATTGTAAATGAGCTTCCCGCTGCAGATTTCCGAGGGCACCCAATTCAGCATGGCGCTGAGGAAGCGGAGGAAGGTGTCAGCGTCTGTGATGCCCCAATCTCTCAATTGAGGAATATCGTGAGCAGTTGCTGCGCTCACAGCCTTTTGCAAGAGAGTCAGGTTGCCATCGAAGATGTTTTCGACAAGGTTCGCTTGTATCCATGGATCTACTTTGGGAGCAAGAGGAAAGGGGGCAGGATCGGGAGGAGAAGATTTCGGAGGCATGGTCGCGCTAGGACTATGATGGAGAAGATCAGTATAAGCTCTGAGATACCAAAGTAGCTAGAATGAGCTTTACTGAGGGATGGAAGAATAAAAAGATGCCACAGACTCACGGCTCGCCATTACTTTATAGCCCCCTAGACAAATATCTCTCTCGATCATTGGCGAGGTCTGAAATGCGATTGCGGTGAGAAGAACCACAAGTCTGCTTCAGCTGATGCTCCTTAATGCTGTCTTTGCGACGTTTGCATTCCGAATCTCTCGTCTTTAGGCCATCTATTACCAGTATTTCTCCTCATCAATTCATTGTGAGACAGAGCTGAAAGCCACGAACTCCAATAACCGATCCTCAGACCGCAAACAGCACTACGGTACTTGAGCTGAAGGTAGTAGAATGAATATCGCTCAGCTACCGAGCGCCGGGAATGCCGTATTCTGCATGGCTCCTGCTGGAACGGCCCGTCCACCGTTGATGTTCTCGTCGTCGGATGAGTGAACGCGGCATGTTAATGGTTCATCCCCAGACTCGGGACATGTGCCGTTGCCTCAGCTCCAACTAGGGCTGAGACCGCGGACGGCAAGTAAGAGCTCTCGCGGCCGGAGTAGGACTAATGTGCTTCGCTTCGAATTCTGGGGAAGGGCTAGACTATCGAATGGACACCAAGGGACTGGGTGCTCAGTAGCACGAGCTCTTTTGTCAGTACTGGATTGCTTAACATGTGTTTCTTGACGAGTATTGAGGTGGCGGATATGCTCTTCTTACCTTGCTCGACGACTGAGAGACCAAGGGCTTCCGTGGAGGCGACGCAGCTGTCACGAGCCGATTTTCCGGAGTTAACTTCCTCCGCATGGTGTGCGAAAGCTCAGCCAAGTTTGTCGCACAGAAGAATGTGGCTTGTAATCTAAGGCACTTAGGTAAAGTAAAGTACCTTGCTTTAGCAGACGAGTGTCCAAAGATGGTATCAGGGCATTGCCCTCGGCCTCCGATTTTACGACCAAGTTCGGCTTGTAGCTGCAAACACGATCACCACAAAATCTCGCAACGGGTACGCTTGATCATGCTACCGAAAGACATACCAGGCACCAGTATTTCAGAACTCATCTGTAATGAAATGGTCAAGAACAGGTTACATTTCCTGTTGAGTAACCTTACTCGAGTGAAACGATGATCAGATCAATGCTTTACTGGGCAAGATGTATGGGCTTGCTGTTCTTCGGTCTTTTTCTTCATGAGAAGATTCCTGTTCATTTCCGCCGAGCAATGCCAAGCTCTATGAGCTATTAATCTGGTCAGGTAAACTAGGTACCTACAAGTAAGTATGTATTGGTACTTTTGGGTCAAGGTGAAGCGGCAGAGGCACCTGCTTTGGGGGAGATAGGGGCTCTCAGCCCGCCCCTATCTTCTCCCGCAGCAGAAAGCCATCGGAGGCGGGGACAATAGTGAATGTTTCTTCAGAGCTGAAAAATGGTCAAGCCCGGTGACGAATTCGTCAAGTCGGGGGAGAGAGGATATTTCCTTGACTACTCTTGCTGTTAGATCATGGGTTTCCTTGCGAACCGGAGCCATTCGAATGAGTAGAGTCTCGAGGAAATAGACAACTGTGGGCCATTATTTTATCCTCAAGATCTAAGGTATATCTACAAGCCCACTAAATGCTTTTTCTGACACCAGACTTGACATGGTAGTGGGGAAATTTGGCCTACCAGGGAAACATATTTGGCGTTGCCCGCAACTTTTCATAATCAGAAAAAAAGCTTCAATCTTAACATTCAGAACAACGCCCGGCAGATTACTAATCGGGAAGTTCTCCCATCTGAATACGAGGTACATGTCATCGATACACGTCTTAAGAATGTTATGGGCACAGGGTGATGAGCAGTATCAAGCTCATGTTATGCATCGATCCTGGTAAGGTGTCGTCCCAGACATTTAGGATAACAGAGATCAACATGGACCTTGGGAGGGATTCGTAACAACGTTACCTTGCATCTGAATGCTCCCGAAGTGTTCTTTCTGTGCAGTTCTATCCCTGAAAAGTGACAATGATTGCTAGATAATGGCCTGAATGTCTCAGTCGTGGTCATGCCCTCTCATCGTTTTTGAGAAACGGATCCCGCTAGTCTTAGTTTGATCCCATGGGTGTGCTACATTCCTATCCAAAGGAAACATCAGACTTCACTTGCATGCAGGTCATTCATTGCCAACGTTATCCTTCGTTGTTCCGTGGTGAGGCCTCATACATTTCCCCTTATGGCCAAGTCGGGCAACTTCGCCATGCCGCACGGCCCCTTCCGTGAAGACGGATGAAATACAAACGGACAACTGGATTTCGTCCATCCCAAAAGGGGTTGATCCCAACTTGATCACGTACTTACTTATGGCAGGCTAAATTCAAAGTAGGTAATGCGTGTTCTGTAACAACCCACAGTTCGCTTGTTGGTAGTTGCCCGAGGAAGGACGAAGCCGATTGGCTATGAACATAAAGACGCTTGTCAACTGCACTCCAAACTCCCACTTTACCGTACCGCCGGATCTTTTATTGCCAGGTTCACCCTTCACCTCGTGTAGAAATCCTGCTGCCTTGTGCGGAGACGGTACAAAATGCTGCTGCCTTGAGGGTGGAGGACAAAGTAGTAGGTCGCGGGCCTTTAGGCGCGCTTAACGCAAGGCGATATCTGCCACTCCGGGATATAGATGGCCCACATTTAGTAATCCTACAAATTTCTGTAGGGCTTTTCGGCAGGATCATTTGGCACATATTGATTATGTCTCCATGACACATGAGGCTACGGAGATACCGGCCTCGGGGTTTTAATGGTATTCTTGCTTTAACCTCAAAGTTGGGACTGAATCATGAGCCACAGTTTCATGAATGGTAAATCGATTCCGAGTCACGCCTTTAATTCGATCAAATCTATTGCCATGTCCGAGTAAGTGATGTTGACAAGAATTTGTCTTTCATGGAAGAATTCGGGACGAACATGAGGAAACAGCCGTTGCGGTAATCGTGACAAACGCGCATGCAATTGGTTGAGTGCTTGTCGTTCATGCAGGGGGCAGAATGCAAAAGACTTCATCTAGAGCTCAGCCCTCCTTGAGCCAGGGAGGTGCCCATCGCCTTTCCGCTCTAGGAATGCGTTAAACTGTTGCCTAGCTGTTGGTTCCACGACTAATTCGCCGCAAAACTTTACGAACCACACTTTTTCCACTTGAGCGGTTACTCCTGGTTCACCGGCATCCACGTGCGCCTATACGTAAGTGAGAAGCCCTATCGTTGTAAAAGGAGGTTTCACTCAGGCCATTGACCGCCGCCGAGTGGTGGCGAAGCCATTAGGAGATCGACTCAGTATCATGATAGCCAATTCTCAAAGCCCGATACGAGGGGGGGGGGGGTAGCCAGGTCACAGGTGACGAGGAAAGCAAATAGCCGCTTGATGGGGCAGGTCCGAAAGAGTGTCTAACATCGTGTCCTGTGCCTCCATTAGTCTAATTCTAAAACCTGAAGAATGGATATGTGACGATGATTTGTCGAGTCAGGAAAGATGACCCATGGTACAGGACAGCAAGGTGCATCCAGTCTAGGAGTAGCCTGTAACTGTACCTGGGAAGTGTTGAACTTACAAAGAAGTCTGTACTCAGAAGTCTTTGTCTGAGTTCTACGAGCCACAAGAAGCCCCTTCTATTTAAAAGATTACCATGTAGTCGAACATTCTCTTGAGATAGACAACTTAGACACAATTTTCGTTTGCTGTCGTTTCAGTCCTTCACTGTACGTTGTCTTGATAGCGTTTTGCAAACAATCAGCTTTCTGAAAATCTTTTCTGTGATACCCGATTTCACCTTTTTTTTCCTTTTCTTTCTCTTTTTTACAAGCTTCCAGCATTGTTGTCCCCAACTTTACTCATCTGTCTTTTCATTCCTTGCTTTTACGATACACCCTCGACCTTAGCGACCTAACCCTTCTTCGATTCTTTCCCTCATTCTGTCCCATACCCGAGAACCCATCGACGATCAAATCCGATAAAAGCATAGAAAGAAAATAGTCTCCAGTGTTCAAGATGATAGCACTCCCTGGAAAGGCCATGTTGAAGGCCTCGGCGCTTGTAATGTTGGCTATGACGGCCGCCTTGGTTGTCCATCAACTCAGCTACACCAACGACTTCGCCCTTCCAAACCAGTCCATAGAGATCATCGGGCTATGCAATGCTTCTGAACGCCAGGGAAAAGACCTTCAAGATCCCACCGATACAAAGACACCGCAAGAGCCCATCCCCAAGATTATCCACCAGCTTTGGAAGGACGACAACCTAAGCACATACTCGGTCCGAGCCTCGTACGACACGTGGAAAACTACGATGGAGCCCTTCAACTATACCGTAAAACTATGGACAGACGAAGATATTCTCGAACTTATAAAGACAGAATACTCTTGGTTACTGTCAACGTACGAGGGCTACGCCCAAAACATTCAACGAGCCGATGTGGCGAGACTGGTTGTTGTCCATGCAGAGGGAGGCATATATGCAGACTTGGACGTATACCCCAGATCGACCGAAGAGATGACCTGTGTGCAAAGCCTCGGCTTACAGGCCATCTTCGCCCCAACATCCAGCACCCTTGGACTCAGCAATCACTTCTTCATGGCACAGCGTGGCTCTTCCTTCCTCGAATGGGCTCTCCGAGAAGCCAAGCGACGCGGCGGTGCGACCTCGAAACGAATCCTCCTTCCCTACCTCCAGGTATTCTGGTCGACAGGTCCGATAATGGTCACACATGCGTTCCATCAGTACGCGTGGATGTACAGCACATTGCATCACGGCGTGGCGCTGTTGGATGAGGGATACGCCCGAAAGCTGTTCGGCCATGCAGCAGGACGTTCATGGCATGGGTCAGATGGGCAATTTTTGAACTATGTGTCAGATCACCTGGGAACCGTGTTGTTCTGGGTTACTGTGTGTCTATCTGTGTTGTCTTTGGCGACAATCATCATTCTAAAGAGGAGTCGCGGGAAGTCCATTGACTTTCTAGTAGGTTGCGGATCTGTCTGTAGGAAGAAGAGCTGGGTAGCCGAAGTGTAAGCTCGCAACCATCAGATATTGTACCCTGCATCGAGTTTTTTTTTCTTATCAACGAGAATATCTCTTCTAGTCTCTTTTTTCTTTGCTTTCCATGACACAATGCTGAACATGAATCCTTCGACGTCAGACGAGAAACTGAAGAAAATTGATCACGTGCAGACATTCCGAATATCGTGCGAAAGATACAATTAAGCTATGTATCTATGTGACAAATTACTTCAATGGCGAATGTTGCGTCAAGTTGCAGCTCGTGAGTCTTTGATGAAATACAATTCAACAAGATGGTATCGCTAGCTAGCCTCAACTGGAGATTCCCCTGAGACATATGAGACGAGAAGGAATTAAAAAAAGTTCGTAGCATTCATTATGAGAGAAGGGCCCAGGCCAGGTTGTCTACTATTCCGTCGCTGGACGCCTGGTCAGCCTCACCCAAAAGTCCCTGGCGACAAAAAAGATCGCACTGAGGGTCTTGATTGGCTTTTCTGGGTTCATGACGGTGAAGTCATATCTCCTTAACAGCTGTATGGAGACTGAAGTCAGTAGGAGTTTGCACTTAGCGTACGTGAGGTTCTTACCTCGACAAAGACCTTATTCAACTCCATCATAGCGATCGGTTTCCCGAGGCAAGAGTACTTTCCGTGGCCAAAGTGAGAATCAACAGCGGCATTCATTCGCATCAGATCATCCTCATTTGCCGAAAGCCATCTCTCTGGGCGGAAGACGTCGGCATCTGGACCCCATACCCAGAGTGAGCGTCCGACGCCGAAGAAATTGTGTCCGATCTGCGTGCCGCCAGGAACGAAGTAGCCGTTCAGGACGTCCCCGCCCTCAGGGGCTTGCTTGAAGCCGAGGCCAGTGACAGGAGGGTAAAAACGCAGACCTTCGCGGATAACCGCTTGGAGATATGGAAGTTTGAGGGCCTCGGCATTGGCTATGGGGGAGCTGATTAGGCCGGCGGCAATAGCATCGTCGATCTCCTGCTGGAGCCGACGGTAAGCAACCGGATTGTTAATTAACGATAATAATGTCATGTGCATGGCTTGTGCGGCCGAGTTTGTGCCGGCAATCCTGAATTGCCATGAGCGTAAGAATCGGGGAAAGTTTTGGGTGAGACTTGCATGTGGATGTACACAAGTTGGATGAGTTCATCTTTACCAAGACCTTGGTTGATGAAAGCCTGCATCATGTCTTTCTGGGGCTTCGCGCCGGGTTGAAGTCTCATTTCAGCGTAATTTCTAGCGAAGCTATGTTGCATCAGCTTTTAGACTCGCGGTGCCCAAGATTGGCTTCACTCACCCCATCAAACGACCAAAGCCGATTTGGTCGCCCTCCTTGGGTAACATGAGCCTGAAAGGCCACTTATGAACAAGTCTTCCAAGCCAAGGAAGCACCGAGACGACATTCATGATCGGTAATGACGACTCGTTGATCTCGATGTACCGAAACAGGTCCCTGTCCTCTGTAAGAAACCCGAATGCGCCACCGAAGGAGACATCGCCAATGGCGTCGAGCGCAAAGAACTGTGTTTTCTCGGCGAGATCCAGCGGACGAAATTCCGAGTCGGTAGAAACGTAATGCCGGTCTATCAAGCGGACAAAATTCATGAGCTGGCGGTCGATACCGATTTCAAAGCCATAACCTTCGTTCTCTTTGGCGGTGTACTATCAAGCAAGAATGAGCAATTAGCGGACTAAAACTCAAAAGTGGCAGCGCTTCTGGGGGTCATGAAAAGGCCTGCACCAGCGAGAGTCGAAGATCACAATGGCAATCGAAACTTACGGCCGGCCCCATTCTCGCCCTCATAGCCTTGTGTTCTTTCTCATCACGCATCGAGACGACATTATCTACGCCCGGAGTGATCCGGCCGGAGTCGTAGAAGTTGCCCTTGGTGTACGGTGAGCGGACGGCCGACATCTTGCGCAGCGAGTCTGGGTCGGTGCAGAGGAGCTCGTTGGGCCCTATGCGTGCGAGGGGCCCTGCAACGACGATCAGGGATCAGCGTCTGTCTCTCCAGTCTCTCGGGATGCATGTCGCCTTGCTATCGCAACTCCAAAGCCACCGAACGAACGTAGGTTCTCAGTAGCAATGAAGGAGTACACTCAAAGCAAAATTCACCTACCATATTTCCTCGCAATATCATTCAGGTGCACATGGTATGTTCCCCCAATTGCTTTCTTCAACTGCCAAAGCACCGAAACCGATGCGATGAAAGGTCCTGGGATCTTTCGCAGGCGATACCATGACCGAAACTCCCACACCAAAAAGGCGATGACGGCGAGCACAGCGATGGGTTTTACGAATAAGACTCCAGACGTACTCGAGCCTGAAATAGATTCCAGACGGCCCTCACCCAAGCCCACTTGCTTAGGCCCGATTCCGGTCATTTGCCCCCGAATCTCTTGTCCTCGCGTAAATAAGATCGTCTCGTCCTGTCGCCAGTCCCGCGCTGATCCAACGGTCTCACTGGCGCACCCCCGAATCGTCCTTGCTGTTGCTGCCCCGCTTGGTAGCTTGCTTCGCTTGTAGGCAATCGTACTGGGTTCCGAGCATGAAAGAGTGCGAGTAATTGGCGCCGTCAAAGATGCATGTACGTCTGCTTCGTCGCTGGTGTGATTATAGCTCTCGTTTCATGGCTCTATTGTCGCTTGCTATCAATTATCCCCTGTTCAACTGCGCTTTTCGGTGACACAAAAGCATAAGCCTCGTGTTGCCTATATCTCGATAGTACTTGAGAACCGCTGTCTGGTGTCTCGCCTTTCTATTATGATGGTGGTTTGCGCATCCGTAGACCCTGTCGCTATTTTGTCATTTCTCGTTGGTCGCAGACCCGACCGCTTGGTAACGCCTCGTGGGAGAGAGAGGCACAGCAGCCGCGGCAGCGTGGGGTAAGTGGAAAAGAAACGAAACTGCAGATGTAAAGCGTCGAAATCGGGGTTCAGACTCAATAATGTCGGCTCATGAGCACGGGAAAAGAGAAGAGGAGGAGAAATGGCAGAGGGAGACGACAAACGGGAGATTGGGGAATAAGCTTCGCTTTATTGGCAAATGCGACCCAAGGTTAGGTGAGCACCCATGTCAAAGGTGAAGAATCGTGGCTGCTGCGAAAGACTAGTAACAGAGGAGGGTAAGCCGGGAAGAAGCCTGAAATCACGTTGAACAGGGCCAATTGCACTAAGAATCCGCGCTAGATGAAGCATGTGGAAGATGTGGAGGATGACTGGCCCGAGGTCACCTTCCAAGCCTGCTTCTTCTCCCTCAGCATCTAAAGTTCTAGGCTATAATGGGGTGTTCGGCCCTATGAATGGATCTTAGGTTATGATGAATGTAGCACAAGATATTCAGAACATCTTGAGACGGCAATCAGGCTACATGTAGGGATTGTGTACCACTCCAGATGAAGGCTTATTCTCTCTACACAATAGGTTTCTGTGCAAATAGGTAGATGGATTTGCCATACTTCCAGGCTCCCTCATCTTTGGCCCGTGGCCTGATTGTCTTGATTTCTTTGTCCCGGCTTGAGATCCACCCTCTGACCGAGTATTCGAATTCGACGGGAACCACGTGCACAGAGGCTTTGTCTTGAGCAATCAGAAAGCGCCTAGGTCGGGCCACATATGCAGGTCAACCACTTACATGCAAGGTGCCGAAGAGCTGCTGTTGACAGCGCCGTGCCCATCTCACCGGTGACATCCACCTGTCCGCTGTGGCTTGATAAGTATTAATGGGATGGTTTCTCTCTTAAGGCGTCGTTTAGTGGTGTCTTCATCCCAGGCTCCAGTCTCACTGCACACCTGTAGGTTGCCGCGAGGTCTTACTAGTTCGTCCCAACACCTAGCCTGTTTCGTGCCCGGTTGCATTGATGGGTGCGCTAGGACAGCGCCGGCCCATGCGGCCTACCCCCGAAAGCCATTGGTGAACTATCAATCCCGGCGGATCGGCTGGAGTTCTTCGATGACGGCTGGCCATCTTAGATCCCATCATGCCTTACGAATGCGCGATGACAATACGAAGACAAATCAAGATGCCCTCTCATATTGAGGAAAAGTAAAGTGACTCAATCAAGTGCCCTCTCCAGAGCAGATAAGCATACTTGTCCAGGGATCTCAATCCGCTGTACCACTATGCGGAACTCCCCGCGGCAGCGTCTGGTGTTACGGAGGACCACCGCCTTTGATGTTTCCAAGGGATATTCTCTCGCATCAAAAACAAACATGGAACAAAGCTAAGATCAGCAATACTGAAGTCCGAATTAAGAGTCGACTCTGGAGCCGTACCCCTTCTAAGTCAGCGGCAGCCTTAGGCCTGTATCACACCTCGACAACCAGGATCACGAACTCGCGATAGCCTCACCGCCAAAAACAATGATTAGAGACATCAAACGAGCAAAAGAATGGACGATCTGGGAATCGAACCCAGGACCTACCGCATGCTAAGCGGTCATTATACCACTAAACCAATCGCCCAGATAATGATCTAGCCCGGACTTGAACCGGAGACCTTCAGTGAGGCAGACGAGAGAGTGGAGAGGCTCTCGAACTGTTAGACTGACGTGATAACCAACTACACCACCAGACCAAGTTGCTTGATGACTCAGCTCGACCAGACGCACCATCTGAAGGGTTCGCCGATGGCGGGGAGGGCATCACGAAGCGATAGGGCTTGGTCAGTTGGTGGACAGGTGCAACTTGCAAGGGGAGTAGCAATCCACAGCAGGTGGGACAGCCAAGATCCAGGCCCGCCCATGCACGTCGTGACAGGGTTCTGTCTCAAGCCGAATGAGCCGGGGAGTAAGAACAATGTCTTGGGCATCCAGGTCGTACGAGTAACGGGATCACAAACACAAATAGACCTAGAGATGAGAATCGAGAACTTTTTTCATATTCACATGATGACGCGCTCTAAATCATTCTTCACAACGTCTTTACCAAACAACCGCCTCAGCCGCGCCAAACGGCCTCGATAACGACAAAGAAAGTCAAGGGGTTCGCCTCAACGCGCTTGATCTCGTATCTCTCGTCCGCTTTCTTAAACAACTCCGTCCACGCGTCGACGGGTCTCTCCTTTGCGCTGAACAGACCCATCATCCTCAAATCCGTCGAAGTACCCATCTGCTGGATAGACTTGGGGAGCGCCGCCGCCGCCGCGGCATTCTCCTCGACGTCACCCTGCTTGCCAACGTAGTCAATGAAGAGGACCCTGGCACCAGGGCGCAGTGCCGGTGTGAGACCCTTGAGGATTTTGATAGACTCCGCATCGGGCCAGTCGTGGAGAATGAGCTTGATCATGTACAAGTCGGCGGACAGGGGCTGCGGCTCGAAGAAGCTGTGGGGCTGGAAGTTGACTCGGCCCTTGAGCTCTTCGGGAATGTTTTGATTGAATGAAGTCTCGCAGTTGGGCAAGTCTTGAACGGTAATCTTGAGGTTGGGGAAGTTCTTTGCCAGAACGAAGCTGTCGTGGCCACCAGAGCCGCCGAGCTGTGAAGAGAGTGTCAGTCAATGTTATCCTGAGATATTGGGATGCTGCGCCACTGAAGTCCAAGAAACAACTTACATCGACAACGCTGAAGTCGCCAGCGGCCTTCCAGTCGTAGGCACTGTTGACCAATCCCTCCAAGCGGAAGATCTCCTTGATGTAGTTCATCCACTTGACAAAGTTCCTCTGGCGGAAGCCCTTGTTTTCGCCCTCGCCGTCGTTCTCCAGCAACTCCCACGAGTTTGTGTATCCGCCACACAGTTCGCCAGAGTGATACAGCGCAAACGCGGTCTCTGTCATATCCTCCTTCAACTCTGTCTTACCGCGCTGGTACTTCTCCAGAGCATAGGGGAGGACGCCCATAGCCGGGCCAGCATCGTTCATAAGAGCCTCGACCAGCGCCCTAAGGCCAGCGTTCTTCAGCAGCGCAGCGGAGCGCGAGGTGTGACGGACGCGCGTTGTGAAAGGCTTGCCGGGGTCAGTCTCCTCGAATATGCGCAGGGTGTAGGCGTGGTCGAGGACACGGTGGACAACTTCTTCGGGCAGGCGGACGTGCTTTGCAATGTCTGCGTACGAGGCATCGCCGTCAATGGGTACGGCAGACCAGAAGTCGAAGTGGTTGAGTGTGTTGAGTGACGCGGCATCCGGAGACATCTACTCAGTGTCAGTTATCAAAATCATGGCGCCAAGACCAAGAATGTAGTGAAGGGGACCAAGACTAGCTTACGTTATGAGTGTAGTTGAAGATGCTCTCACTTGGTCCTGAGACTAGGTATGAGAGGTCATTTGCGGCATCCAACAGCTTCTGGCGGAGCAAAAAGGCTTCTGAAGTGAGACCATCGTAGCTTGAGACGCTATCTGCGGCAAAAGTAGGCTGGGGGATCTTGTTTTCGCTCAAGAACTTGGTGAACTCAGCCGAGAGCTCGCCAATCTTGGCGGCGAGGTCGTTGATAGTTGGCTGTGGTGCTGCCATTTTGGAAGACAAATAAGAACTGAAAGGGGTATCTATGAAAGCAGATGCAGACATTTCCGAATGGTGTGAAGAGACGTCATATCCAACGAGGGGTTGGAGGGGAAGCTGTCTCTTTTATTTACTCTCTTCAGTCCCGTCATCCCACGAATGCCGGGCAGGGCCAGATCTCGCCAAGAGGCTTGTACCTCTTTTCATCGCCTTCTCCTACATGTCAAGGTCCATGTCGTGGGGTTAACGGCGGCTATTTTCTTCCACTAACTTTCCTCTCCTGCTCGTTAGGTAATTAAACCGAGCGTATGCGGTAATGCCACCCACCGCCGAAGACGCTCGCCGTTGCGATGGAGGGGCACTTGTGTGACGGGAAATGCGACGCACACTGCAGATCTGATTAGATTATCTTATCCATCTGAACAATAATCATGAACGGCGCCGAAGAATTACCCCTCCTCGCCAAGCCGCCAAGGGCTAGAGCAGAGGGAGAGTTCTGTCAGATTTAGAGGGCTATACGAGCATGAGGCTGCCGTAGAAGCATCGCAAGAGGTTCATTTCGGTAGCCATCCCGTTAGAGCGCCCCATCATTGCCCCAGTCCCCTCTTTTTATGCTCCATGCAGCTTGGATGTCACCTCTGGATTTACCACCGTCTGTTTTGGGTATCCATATAGCCATCGTGCCATGGGGATCAACGTGGCTTTCGAAAAGGCCCCGGTCTATATTCGACAAGCTGGGCCGCCCCTCCACGAGCTATGCCACCTGTCGATAGCTTGCGATAGGCTAGGATTGAGGTATTTTCTGCAAGGTTCTTGATGCAGATTGCTGCTGCATCATGTGCGATGATGTAGGCCCGGGATGGCCATGAATGACGAGCTCGCCCGATTTTTCGGCAGTTTCCGCTGGTCTGCTGTGTTCCGCGGCCTCCGACTTGTCCATCGGATCTCTCC